GCGAGATTTTTGAGGATTTCTCAAAATTTGGCGGAAAAGTGGATCATATCGTGCCAAAATTTTGTTTTGCCACAGTCATCGCTGTACAGCTTCCTTTTCCAATGTCACTCTCGCACTCACGCTTACCATCTGGAGGGAAAAATCGAATTCACCCAGAACAAAAGCTCCCAAAAGCGAGATTTTTGAGGATTTTCTCAAAATTTGGCGGAAAAGTGGATCATATGGTGCTAAAATTTTGCTTTGCCCCAGTCATCGCTGCACAGCTTCCTTTCGCAACGTTATCTCGCACTCATGCTTACAATCTGGAGAGAAAAATCGAATTCACCCAGGGCAAAAGCTCCCAAAAGCGAGATTTTTGAGGATTTTCTCAAAATTTGGCGGAAAAGTGGATCATATCGTGCTAAAATTTTGCTTTGCCCCAGTCATCGCTGCACAGCTTCCTTTCGCAACGTTATCTCGCACTCATGCTTACAATCTGGAGAGAAAAATCGAATTCACCAGGGCAAAAGCTCCCAAAAGCGAGATTTTTGAGGATTTTCTCAAAATTTGGCGGAAAAGTGGATCATATCGTGCTAAAATTTTGCTTTGCCCCAGTCATCGCTGCACAGCTTCCTTACGCAACGTTATCTCGCACTCATGCTTACAATCTGGAGAGAAAAATCGAATTCACCCAGGGCAAAAGCTCCCAAAAGCGAGATTTTTGAGGATTTTCTCAAAATTAGGCGGAAAAGTGGATCATATCGTGCCAAAATTTTGTTTTGCCCCAGTCATCGCTGTACAGCTTCCTTTTCCAATGTCACTCTCGCACTCATGCTTACAATCTGGAGAGAAAAATCGAATTCACCCAGGGCAAAAGCTCCCAAAAGCGAGATTTTTGAGGATTTTCTCAAAATTTGGCGGAAAAGTGGATCATATCGTGCCAAAATTTTGTTTTGCCACAGTCATCGCTGTACAGCTTCCTTTTCCAATGTCACTCTCGCACTCACGCTTACCATCTGGAGGGAAAAATCGAATTCACCCAGGGCAAAAGCTCCCAAAAGCGAGATTTTTGAGGATTTTCTCAAAATTTGGCGGGAAAAGTGGATCATATCGTGCTAAAATTTTGCTTTGCCCCAGTCATCGCTGCACAGCTTCCTTTCGCAACGTTATCTCGCACTCATGCTTACAATCTGGAGAGAAAAATCGAATTCACCAGGGCAAAAGCTCCCAAAAGCGAGATTTTTGAGGATTTTCTCAAAATTTGGCGGAAAAGTGGATCATATCGTGCTAAAATTTTGCTTTGCCCCAGTCATCGCTGCACAGCTTCCTTTCGCAACGTTATCTCGCACTCATGCTTACAATCTGGAGAGAAAAATCGAATTCACGCAGGGCAAAAGCTCCCAAAAGCGAGATTTTTGAGGATTTTCTCAAAATTTGGCGGAAAAGTGGATCATATCGTGCTAAAATTTTGCTTTGCCCCAGTCATCGCTGCACAGCTTCCTTTCGCAACGTTATCTCGCACTCATGCTTACAATCTGGAGAGAAAAATCGAATTCACCAGGGCAAAAGCTCCCAAAAGCGAGATTTTTGAGGATTTTCTCAAAATTTGGCGGAAAAGTGGATCATATCGTGCTAAAATTTTGCTTTGCCCCAGTCATCGCTGCACAGCTTCCTTTCGCAACGTTATCTCGCACTCATGCTTACAATCTGGAGAGAAAAAATCGAATTCACGCAGGGCAAAAGCTCCCAAAAGCGAGATTTTTGAGGATTTTCTCAAAATTTGGCGGAAAAGTGGATCATATCGTGCCAAAATTTTGTTTTGCCACAGTCATCGCTGTACAGCTTCCTTTTCCAATGTCACTCTCGCACTCACGCTTACCATCTGGAGGGAAAAATCGAATTCACCCAGGGCAAAAGCTCCCAAAAGCGAGATTTTTGAGGATTTTCTCAAAATTTGGCGGAAAAGTGGATCATATCGTGCTAAAATTTTGCTTTGCCCCAGTCATCGCTGCACAGCTTCCTTTCGCAACGTTATCTCGCACTCATGCTTACAATCTGGAGAGAAAAATCGAATTCACCCAGGGCAAAAGCTCCCAAAAGCGAGATTTTTGAGGATTTTCTCAAAATTTGGCGGAAAAGTGGATCATATCGTGCTAAAATTTTGCTTTGCCCCAGTCATCGCTGCACAGCTTCCTTTCGCAACGTTATCTCGCACTCATGCTTACAATCTGGAGAGAAAAATCGAATTCACCAGGGCAAAAGCTCCCAAAAGCGAGATTTTTGAGGATTTTCTCAAAATTTGGCGGAAAAGTGGATCAAGTACTCTGCGTTGATACCACTGCTT